CTAGGTGCCAATGTCGAGGTCAGCTGGCCACAAGAGGGAAGAACAGCGGGAGATGAGGGTGGGGGTGAGGTGGGAAATGAGACGGACACGTGAAAGCGACGCGGTGGGCGATGTACGTATGTTCATATTATTTCGCACCGTACGTAGCCAAAATGTTTTATTAAGAAATTAGTTTTCAATCTAGATTTAACAGCGCATAGCTCCCCCAGTGACTTCCCAATATGGGTAGGAAGTGCGTTCCAGACGGCCGCAGAATCGCATCTGAAAGATGAAGTGGTTGCTGGTGGCGGTGGTGGCGAGACAGAGACGTGCGTGACTCAGGAATGCAGACGGGTACTCCAACGCGGCTTCACGCTAAATCTGCGAGGCTTTGGGGCGCTGCAATCCTCAGCCGCACAATGCGTACAAACGGCCACGGCCAAACATTCCCATCTCCCGGCTTTCCGTTGAGAAAATCCTCGAGCTTCAGTGGCATTTCGCTCGGATCATCATCGTAGTCGTCGTCATCACCATCATCGCCAAAGTTTGTAGTTATTACTTCCGAAGCGATGGAGAGGTATGCGTCTTTTATAAACTCGAGGGACCAAAGGAAATTGAGGGACGAGCGAGGCAAGAAAACAATCTTGCAACAGGAATTTTGAGTTTTGTTTTGCTTGTTTTCAACAAATTAGTCAATAACACTGCGGATTTAAAAGTGGGGGAAATATTACATAACAGGGGATGTTCACACATTAAGAAGGCAAATTATCCGAAACGCCATCTATTACACGTTTTACCCTTTAAATGCCACACTGTTATTGACGAACAAGTTTAGTGCTTTTGTTACTTTTTGCTGTTTCACGATCATGCATTTTTACTGTTTAGGAATTACATCTTTGACTCGGATATATATGATGTGAATAAGAGCCATTGCCCGAAATATCGTCGTATACGTTCCTGTTAAGGCTACACACAGTTTTATTGACGAAAGTGTTGAGTTTTTATTTTGTTCATTGTGTTTGTGCACCACTTCCATCATCACCACCACCACCACCACCAAATCACGTGCTTCTATCGAGAACGCGAAACCAGTCCTGCGGAACAGGGCAATGAATACGATTTGATAATGAAGGAAACGTGTATGCATGCTGTACTTCTTTCCCACCATACGTTGCTCAGCGTGCTAATCGGAGATGCGGGGAAATCGGAGACGCTGCCAATCGCCGCTGGTTCGCTGCCAATCGCCGCTGGTTCGCTGCCCATCAGCGACGTTACCCGGGGCCCGCTCGCACCCGAGCGGTCAGTCGGCTCAACCCAGAATCGCCGTCGCAATCGCGCGGCGTCACCATCCCCGCATCTGAGACGATAGTTGCGCAATGATATTGCACGGCGCATTCGAGATCGTAACAAACCAAATCGCGTGCCCTTTGGTTCTTTCGGTCAAGTCACGTAGGTATAAAATAAAATAAAAAAATCACGACGTTTCGGGCGCGCAACACAAGCGTCCATCATCAGGTGTGAAAAGCCATGGTCTGCTGCTGAGGCAGACTGTTTTAAAAGGTTTGAAATGGGTGTAGCCCAAGGGTCATAAAGAAGTGGCCGGGGCTAGTGATGTTAATGTGAGAAATTAGCATGTACCTGTAAGATAGGAGGAGAGCGGCCTCCTGGACGAGGGCATGGAAGTGGCTAAGTTAATGTGAGAGATTAGCATGAAATAACAGCTGACATAGGCAGGTTGGATGGAAACATCACAGTCAGTTAAGACTTTTCCTTGGTAATAACGTTCTTCCAATGATTGCTCAGTTTGTACCCATCCTCTCGGTTGAAGTTGTGTCTGTGTCTATATAGGTCTGGATGGCTTCATGAACAAATCACAGCTGGGCACATGTTGCAATCACTTGCCGAGTAGATCCCGGCCGCTAACAAATCAAGTCTGTACTCTACTGAGATCAAGAACTGGTTGCGCAACTGCTCGCAATCACTTGCAGAGACGGTCCACATAGAACGGTTCAGTTGCATGCAACTGATTGCTTAGGTGCGGACCCGACCTAAGGAAGCTTCAAACTCGTTGCACATCTCGGGACACGCAGATCCATATTTGATTTTGGGTTAGGCCCACGTGGTCGTAGTTTTATACCAAGATTCTTGTAAATTAACCCTCCACCACCCGACGAAATTGTCACGTGTTACAAATGTTATTATATTTATATTATGTAGTTTGCTATTATTTATACGTGCCCGATGATGCTGGATGCCAAAATTGCCCGATGATGCTGGATGTAATTACCAGTGAAACGTCGTACTCAAAAATTGTAAATGTTGTGGATTCACTCTTCAACACACCAGTGGGCTAAAGTAGTGAACTATTTGTCTTTTATATTCTTGGTTCTTTCGGTAAAGTCACGAAAGCTTTAAATCAACATTTGTCTTTTGTCAACCTGACACTTTTTTTACTGATTGGCCGTGTCGGGTGGTGGAGGGTTATGACACATTTATAATTAACGCGATCTAACCCAAAAACGTTAATTATGAATAATATTGGCCGCGAAAGCCTCCTACTACTACTAAGTGTTAAACTGTCTAACCAATAAAGCTAACAAACCTCACCGGTGGCTTAATCTTTTTAAAAAAATCAACGCACGACGTCGCTTTGCTCCAGCAGCCTTGAGCCTCAACAGGTGATCCTTATAGCCGCTACCCCGGGGTACCAAATAATACAAAATGGGGCGAGGCAATTAAATATTTCATTTTTGGGACACTATCTTTTTTTCAGGGGTGAACTTAACTCCGCGACCGGGGTAACCAATCAATCCGAAATCAGTGCCACACTCCGTGATGTCGAAACGTCAAACATTATAGCATTTAAAAAAATCCGTTATCGAAAATTTCAACTTTGAATAGTGCATCGTGTACAGCTCGTCGAGGTGAGTCGATTGCCGCATCGCCGACCATCAACAGGCTAAAAGTGACTGCATCGCAGACACTGTGCGAGAGCCGGGGTTCGATGGTACCCCGGGGTACCGCCATAAGGTTCAGTTAATGAATTCCGATTTCCGAGGACCCCGCTACGACACTACGTGGCCTGTTCGCTTGAGTTCTCTCACCTGGGTAAACAACGCAAACTCTAACCCCAACACGTACGTGGATCATTGTGGATCGACTACGTTGCAAGTGAAGGTAGCTTGTGCTGTGAAGAAGAGCCATTGCCCGTAACGTCGCCGATAATATTTGTTCTTATTTTCAGTCCACAGTGTTATTGACGAGAGTGTTTGGTTTTTAGGCTGAGATAACGCCTGTTTGTTACCACGAGTTGGATATCTTTCCATCGCCAGCTGCAGAGGTCGCGGATTGTTTACATTTTGCACTCGGCTGGGATGGGGGGGTAATAGGTGTCCCCCACACTCCACCTCCCACTGGCGGATAGCAAAATAAATATACAGACAATACAACTGCTCACTACCACATCTGTCCACCGACATTAAACATACAAGTTTTTTTCTTCTTGGTTCTTTCGGTAAAGTCACGTAGAAGGGAAATAATAAAATAATAAAAATAAAACATAATAAAATAAAATTATCACGACGTTTCGGCCACAACACAAGCAGCCGTCTTCAGGTGAAGACAACGATGTCTTCCCGACAGTTGTTTTTCACCTGAAGACGGCTGCTTGTGTTGTGGCCGAAACGTCATAATAATTTTATTTTGTTGTTTTATTTTTATGATTTCCCTTCTACATGACTTTACCGAAATAACCAAGAAGATGAATCCATGCAGTCACGAAAGCTTTAAATCAAAATACAAGTGTTTTTTTTTAACACATCTGCTGCCCCCTCCCCCCCACTCTTTCATTTTGCCACAAGAGGGCGCAATCTGGGCACGTTAATTCCTATTCTCTCGCGCGCGATACGTGCGCATGTACGCTGTGGTTGAACTTCATCCACACCGTATGTCGCCAACCGTGCGAATCGGAGGTGCAGGATGGCAGCAGCAGCAATGATTTTTGGGAGCCAGATGCCAACGTGGGCCACGACGGGGAGGGCGGGAGAGTGTTTGTGTCGTGTTAATGTTTCTCCTCCGTTGAAAGAGCGCAGGTGATAGTAGATTACACTCACACGGTCTACAGTTTGTGTTGCACGGCGACAGTCACACTGCTGCGGCTTGTGGTCTTTAATGTAGCTCGTGTATCACTCTATGTCTCTGCGGGTTTGACTTACACGATTCACAGTTTGGGTTGCATTGCAACAGCCGCGCTCCTGCGGCTCGTCGTCTTTAATCTTCCATTCGTGATGAATGGAAAATAATCGGCCTTGTTGATGATATTCTGATGCTGTTGATGGTTACACCAGAACTCTGGCCACCAAGACCGTAGCCATGGAGTCAACATTGGGGGGGACCAAATCTTCCAGGGGGTCTGGGGTCCCCCCCCCAGAAAAAAATCTAAATTTGAAAATGATTTCCTGCCTAAAATATTTTTAAAAATCACTAACACATAGGATGGACTTTTCACTAATTTTTTTACAATGTCTAATAGTGTATTGTATTACATCGCTCTGTTTTTTTACCTTTTCTTGTTTCATTGTATGTAATGGCAGAGATTAGGGATTAATAAAGTACAACCATACTTTATTAATCATAAAAACAGAAATCTATATTTTATATTGGGGGGACATTTTGAGCATATTTGAATATGGGGGGGGGGGATGTGTCCCCCCCCCCCCCAATATTTATTATAATTGGGGCCTTGCTGGCCACACACCGGTTTCATGGTACACCAGCATGTTGATGACACCAGAGGGGGGAGGGGAGAGTTCATCACCGACCCCGCTGCTGCCCCCTTATCCCAATCAGCAGCGGCGACGTTACGAGGTCGGCTTAATGAGCACGCGGTAATTAAACGGGGAATATGAATCATGAATATATGAATACGCGCAAGCGGTCAAGGTGGAGCGTTCTTCCCCGCTCAGACGAGGAGACACTCGCACACACAATCATCGTCGTCATCGTCACATCGCCCAATTTAATAATGAGAGTCGTGTTTATTCATGTAAAATCGTACGCGGACAATCGGCACTCACGAAACAATGGCTAATGTCTGTGATCCGTGATTACTGTGAACGCATCGACGAATAGAAAACGTTATCATCGATTCTTACGATCGACTTTTATATATTTTTTTATTAGACGAGTCACCACTATACACGCGACCGAACCGATCGTGCGTGCGAGAGGAGGATGCGCGTGCTGCGCCGCGCGATTACCCCCAGCCACTCCAGGCCGCTATATTCACCACTTCTCTTGCAAAAATGATCTATGACGCCACTCGGACGCGCGTGATGCGACGATCGACATCTCCACAGTACTGTGGCGGAACTAAGTCCATCCGTGGCAAAGAGAACGACCGCTGCTGTCGACTTCCCACCAAAATGCGGCCACGAGACTGTTTTTTTTTTCTTGAGAGGCACCGCATTTGGGGATGTTTGGCCCTCTGTGTTTAAATAGTACGTGCGCGCGTGTGCTCTCTAGTCTAAGGCACAAGCCATGAATCGATTAAACAATGACTTCGGTTCGAAGCCGATCAATTCAAAGTTAAATGTCGGGTACGGACGTGGTCGAAGCCGATCGCCCGCGGGCAAACCACGACTCCCGTTTCGTACAACACGGCTTCACTCCGTTGTGGACCACTTCAAAAGCAGCCCTCGAACGATATTTATCCATCGCTGCAAGCGTCTTAGCCGCACTAATCGATTTTTAGCGGGGTGGAGGGGGTGACGATAATTCAATTTGTGCTTCTAAATTCATCGGCGTTCGGTTATCTGTTGGTTTATTTCCAAACTAACAAAAATCCTTTCGCGATGTTGCTGCTCATGCTGCTTCGTTGGCGGTGGTGCACCGACACGGACAACATCTCAACACATTCGTAAACAACAACCGTGGGTCTTAAAATAAAAATATATAATAGGCGACGTTTCGGGCAACGGTCCTTCTTCATAGCCCATATAGTACTGTACATCCTAGCACATAAATATCGCCTATAATATATTTTAGTTTAAGGCCACAGTGTTGTTGACGGATGTCTTCAGTTGTATTATTAATTGTGATTGGTGTATCACTGCCACTGAAAGCACAGCCCTAGGTTTTAGATGTGGACAATGATTCTCCTGCCCTTCCCGAGGGAAGTACTGGACATCACTTCCATGGTAACTCCTAGGCGCGTCACAGAGCATCGATTAACCGATCAAAATCGATTCGTATTGCTCGTTGTACGACGTACGCCTTCCCACTGAATGATACTCAATTTTATCGGCCTTGCGGAGATGATTGGCTGAGTCGAGTCCAGACCAGGATCTTGAACTTGCCGACGTTTCGATTTCAACCAGCAAGCGTGGGGTCCCCGCCGCGGCTTTCCCGATTACTGCAATGGGCATTGCTAAATGTGCAAATTAAATACAAACGTGTAATGCCATCATACTACCATGTGATTTGCATATCTAGCAAATATCGTTTTCCGCATCATGCCCGATTACATCCAATTAACGGATATTGCTGTATATGTAAATTACATGCTAATACTGTACATATATTTCTACTTAATTTAGCGAAAACCTACACAGAAAGATAATACAAACGAGACGGGTTGAAACAAAGAGTCAAAACATTAATCGATTCTTGAACCATTGAATCGTGACCCCGAATCGTGGAAGTTCTTCTAAACACAGTTCTAATAACAATACTGCAACACGCGAACACGTTAGTTTGCTTGTGACAGACCACATGGCATGACATCATCCCTCCACGGAAGGTTAAAGGCCCTGACCCTGCAATGGCTTGCTTATTCCACTGCTGGCGGAAGAGACCTTCACGACAGGAAGCTCTTAGGGTGAGGTTTCCCAAATTCCAGACTCCACTTACCGCTTACTCACATTAAGTCCTTCCACGCGCCCGATGATTGTTAAACACGTTCCACGTGACGTCATAATCAATTGACAGTGTCTTTGTGTGCGTGCACGTGTTCCGCCTTAATTGTTGAGCGAGACACGTGGGAAGTGTTGAACGGTCACCGGGCGCATGCAGCGTGCAACGATGTAATTTGAATTTGAGTCAAATTGGTAAGCGCGGAGAAACGGAGTGTGGTGGTGGGTGGCGAGGCAGTGGAATTCAGGAAATCCTGCGATAGAGGGCCTCTCCGGATGGTATTTGTTGGCCGACTCTTGCTTCCCATGCTGGCCAGACGTCTCGGGAGGAGGTGGGAGTTACCCACACTTTGCCCCACCACACGCGACCTGCCGTTCGACTAGCTGCGGTGTTACTGCTGGGTACACGGAAGCGATAGATTGGGAGGTGGTGTGAGTGGTGGGGAGAAGGGAGAGGGGGGGGAACATTTAAGAAACTTTCACCAATGCGAAACATCACAGCGTCGCCGCAGCAGCGTCAACGCCACATCACCGCCCGTGCGAAATGTTGAACAGCACGGTCCGAGCAGAGGAACTCGCACGAGTCGGCCCCTCGTGGCTGGAGGTGCATGCCTGGCTACGCGCGTGTGGGGGTCGTGAATTAGCATTGTCTGGCATTGGAATTGAATGGGATTCATGATTGTTGGTGATTGATAGGGATTCGCATGACATCACGAACTTAGCAGGGCATTTTGGCACACGTTCCTACAGATGTATAAACTACTAAGCCCTAGACAATATATATACACACGCACATAGAACTCTGCTTGTATATGTCACATATACACGTATATACAGAGACAAAGATCCCCCCCGTATAGCCTAAATAGACTGTTGGGGTAAGTGCTGTTAGCGAGCACCTATAAAGGCCGGAATGGCACACATGGGGGTAGGTGACCAACACCACGCCCGGCCAACTTTGTCTCCCCAGTGCTGGTGTTTACACACCGCACCGGGTACTCATTCTAAGGCCGAGTCGACCTAGAGGGGGGCCAGGACCGGTTCAAAATATTCGTCACAGATGTTGCTTTGAGCCGGAACCGAACTTTGGTTACCGAGTTCATAACGCGATTCACACGTTGGCAAAGACACATACAAACACAACAACAACCGCCATTCGCCACTAAGTGGCGGTGACGTCACCACGACGCTTGTGCCATGCCATGTGCACCTTGAGACCACGTGAAGTCTCGAACGCCCGCTGGCATATAAACACTGATGCAGTACACATCTACAACCACATAGACATATGCATAGACACACAAAGACAGACACACGAAGGCATACACATGGGCAGACGTACAAAAAATTGCCCTATTAGACCATTGGGGCAAGTGCTGTTAGCCAGCCCACACAAAGGGGGTGGTGTGACCAGCACCACATAACGCCCGGTCGCCTTTGTCTCCCTAGTGCTTTAGTTCACGCACACTTTAGGCCGAGTCGACCTACGCCAGGTTCAGACACCACGGAGGTGCCACTGATGTTCTGCATCGTGGCTGAGAATCGAACGAAGGTCGCAAGGATTGTATCGCGATTGCGCCAGCCACTGCCACACCGCTCCCCACTACAGTTGGATGGTATCACACGACAGTACACAGGCGTGTGTACACATACAAAGAGTTGTACATACCGTATGCTAATATACAACACGCATTTGCCCTTACTTGATTCGGAGGGACAGCCTAAGCAGGGATGGAGCATGGAATTTAACCCGCTCCGGTTCACTCCTGACCAGAGTGCCCCAACCATTGCACTTAAACGACTGTGGCAGGCTCGGGGGGGGGGGGGGAATTCACGATGGCCGTGTCAGAGACACTGAGCCAGCATCGCTGAGACCCTGGGTTCGAGCCAGGGTTCATCCATCCAACCACAGTGATTAACCTGGGGGGGATGGGGGGGTCTCGAGTGTAGCAGTGAGTTGATGATCTCAGCCCTGCCACCAGTGACTTACACAGAGACGTTTTGACTTACGTAGAGACATATCGAGTCATGGAGACTGAGTTGTGATTAAACCAGGTCCTCAAGTGTAGTCGTGAATTCATGGTTTCAGCCCGGTCACTAAAGATTGCACACAAAAAAATCACATTCAATTTGGTTCTGCACTTACAGTCTTAATTTGGCAAAATTCCAGCTCTGAGAAGTAAACTTTTATGATGTTACTGCTAGTGGATGGCCTTTAGCAGTGGCTCACGCCACTGCTGAAGGGCATCCACTACGGGAAACTCTGGGTAGTATTTTGTCTACTCTTCCAGGCTATTCTATTCTTGGGTATGGCAGCAATATGTTCAGCAGCGAGATGCCAATGTGGAGGTCTGCTGGTCATGACGAGAGGGCTTTAGGAGAGAGTTGATGTAGTTTTGCTGTTTCTCGTCTATTGATGGAACACAGACCACTGTTTTTTTCTATATGGTCCAAAGTTTGGGTTGCATGGGCATAGTCACATCTTTCACGCTGACCGCACGTCTTGAAAAAGGTGGTCGTGCCCACACTTTACCCCACCACACGCAACCAGATGATCGTAGACTGTTGGCGAGTGAGCCAATTTTTTTCCGATTGACAGAGGCGGGACAATTTGAGAAACTCGCACCGTTGTTTCAACTGCCACGCCAGGAGATGGCATCGAATCGGCGACCTCTGGATGGCAAGTCCAGTGGTGCTGACCACTCATTACACCATGGCAACGTCCCAAGTGATTGCCATGTGATATGTGGTGAACACTACTTACAGAGTATATAAAACATGTGCTTATAATGGCGTTAAAAAAGGCATACTGAATGAACTTTTGGTATGTTGACGTCGTCTACCGGGGGCCTTTCTCCGACACAAGGTGATCCACTGCTGGCTGCGAGCGTTGGGAATGGAGATTATGTGTTCGTCTCTATGATGCCCGCAGCGCAGCTGGATAGAAAAGTAAAGACCAAAGTACAAAGTGCATGCCGCATGGCGAGTCCCCATCCATATCTTATATCGAGGGCTCTTGCCTACAACGTCTGGCAGTTCACCAGCATTGGTTCAAGTAAGCCGAAGTCTGCCAGATGAGACACTGCATGTCGAGACCGGTCCAGAGTTTCGCTTGTACTAAATCAATGCTGCTGAAATGATGCGCTCCCAGGAGGCCCAAGGGCAGTTGTGATGTGTAAATAATACTTTATATTATATTTAATATTGAGAGACGGGTACGCAGAAATATAGTCTGCTTATTTGTTTTATGATTCAAGTGGGCTGGTCCTCACCATCAGCCAGCCAATCAGCTCACGATCTGGAGCATAGCCCTTCCCCTAACCCCTATATTGTTAACGATCGTCATCTCCCTGCGATGATTACAAACACGAGACGTAGTTGACGATGTTAAAATAAATATAAGTCATGATGATGATGTTTTGAAGAGAAGGATAAGCAGAAGGAGAGAAGGATGATGAGATGATGGTGCTGTTGATGCTAATGATAATATTGAAGAAAAGGATGGTCAGGAGGAGAGCTGATGAGCAGATGGTGTTAGTTAATGATTGTGGTGATTATTATGGTGTTGGTGATCATTATAGTGTTGCTGATCATTATAGTATTGGTGATGATGCTGCTGTTGGTAGTGGTGATGATGGTGATTATGGTGGTGGTGGTGATGACGACGATCATGGTGTCACAGTTGGATAACATCGCTGCCATCGCTCAGCTGCTCAATCTGTCGACAGATCTGCACAAACTCAGCTCTCAGCTCCTCCGATCCCTGGCTGCCGTCCCTCCTGGGGGCCCCTCGATCCCCGGGGCCCCCTCTGCTTCCCTCTCCGCACGGGGTCCCCGGGTCCTCACCGACCCTCTCGAAGCCTGGCGGCGGTGACCCCGGGCCACGGGGTCGCGGGGAGAGACCCCCGTCTCCCCAACCGGGGTCTCGCGAGGACGACAATGAAAACGAGGATGATGATGGTGCAGGTAATGAAGAGAGTGATGACGAAGGTGACGACGATGATGATGATGACGATGACAGGGATGACGAGGTGGTCTGGAGGAGTCGCTCGTCTGAAGAGGCAAAGGTGGTGGAGGGTCCGGAGTGAGCGGCAGGGTTCGATCCCGGGTCCTCGGCATCACCATCCTCATTCCCACCTCGTTCTCCACCTTCTCCGCCTACTCTTGGACCACCTCGTTCACCACCTCCTCTACCTCCTGCACCATCTCCAGCACCACCTCCGTCATCATCATCACCATCGTCTTCTTCATTCCCTTTTTCGACTACCACACTTCCTCCCACATGGCCTTCTCCTCCACCACCACCAACACGACTACCACCACCTGGTCCACTGTCACCTGGTCCACTGTTACCTCGTCCACCTCGTCCCGGCTCGTCTGCCGCTCGCTCCCAGCACAGCGCATCCCCGCGACTCCCGAGCGCCTCGTGGATGCTGCGGCGCAGGTCGATGGGTGACGGGGGCCGCAGCTCGATGTCCGACAGCGACAACGACTCCAGCCCCTCCTCCAGCCCTTCCTCGTGCACGCTCACAGGGGCTGCCACGGGTCCCTTCTCTCCCGCCACCGCGGACCCCTTGCGGGACCCCGAGCAGTCCCAATCCCCACGGGAGGGGGGCGGCTGCGCAGCACCCCCCGGGGCGGCGCCCTTCTTGGTGAATCCGTTCCTCACTGGCTTCAGGGCCAGGCTGTTGGGCCCCCACGGGAACGTGGAGGAGCTGGAGGAGGTGGCGGTGCCCCGCTCACCCGTAGCCCCGTTGCGGGCCTTGACCCCCGAGCTGACGGCCACGACCTGGCGAACCCGCGCTAGCAGGGCCCGCTCAGGCCACGAAGCCGAGCACGGGCGGCGCCGGCGGTGGTCGCACAGGGCCACGGCGCCACCCGGCGCAGTGGCGCACAGGCCCAGGGCGCAGGCCGCAGACAGCAGCTCGCACACGCGGGTCGCCACGTGGAGGCCCCAGCCACGGGTCAGCGCGGCGGTGGTGGCGGAACCGCCGCCGTGGGAGAGGAGGACGCCGGTGTCCACCAGGAGCCATGCCTGGAGTGCGGCGCAGGCAAGCAGCGAGCACGCGGAGGTGCAGAGCAGGATCGAGGAGCCGGGGGCTCCTCCAGTGCCGAGCTCCCGCGGTGGACCTCCCACCTCCTGCTCGTCCGGCTCCTCGGTAGAGCATTGGGGCCTCCGGGGCAGGGCCCGAGTGGGCGGAGCGGGACGAGCGGAGCCGTCGGGCTCGCCGGAGGGACGCCGGGAGAGCAGAGCGACCGCGGCGGGGAGCGCGATGGCGCTCGACACGAAGACGCCGCGGGAGAGGAGGAGCACAGCGGCGGCGAAGCGGCGGAGCTCCACGTGCGCGACGTCGTCATCGCCGCCGCCATCAGCAACGTTGTCATCAACGTCATGACCATCGAGGAGGTCCCGCGTCATCAAAACGAAGGCGACGTCGCAAGCGACGGAGACGAAGAGGTGTGCGCAGCAGATGGCGAGGAGATACGGACCCGGCCCGGTAGCGTGGAGTTTCCTTCCCCGTCGCCGCCGCCGCAGGAGGAGGAGCGGAAGCAGCGCCGCGATGCAGAAAGCGGTGGTGAGCAGCGGAAACCCGGAGTCGAACACGAGGAGGGAGGTCAGGGGCGCGGGGGCCCTCTCGGGGGTCAGGAGGTCACAGGAGAGCGACACAGAGCGCAGGGCGCACAACGTCAACACCAGCGCCGCTCCCAGGGGGGGCAGGGGACTCTGGGGATCCCTCTGGGGGTCCCTCGGGGGGTTTTTTAGGGGGTCGGACCCAGACGGCGGCTGCAGTGGCGGCGATGGCGACGGCGACGGCGGTGGTGGGGGTGGCGATGGTGGCTTCGTCTTTATCAGCATCATCAGCAGGAGTCTGGCCAGGGTGAAGAGCGCCAGGATGGAGAGGAGGGCGAAGGCGCAGGCGAGGACAAGCGAGCCCGCGTCCCACGTGGGGCCCAGCGTTCCACGCAGCTCACGCCAAGGCCCCGTGCCCGGAACGAGGGAGAGGGGGACCGGTGCCAACTCCCTGGCCCATCCCGGGGCCCGCGACGGAGGCATCGCCGAGGAGAACAGCTCTCGGTCGGTGCCCGGTCTCCGGGGAGGGAGGGGAGGGTCTGGTCCGGGTCCTGGCACGGGGACGAAGCGACGGGCAGCCTCGTCCGTCACGACCCCCGGCTCTGGAAGCGCAGAGGAGGAGAGAAGTCACGTGGGTTTGGGTGAGCGCCTCCTGTTTGAGCCGAGCCACAATGCTGACTCTTATTTGTATGCAGCCTTTAGGAAGGATTTTTCGGCAGGGAAGACTGAATTAATTGAAAAGTGTCAAACTTTATATCCGCGGTCATCCAAGTTATGACTGCTGCATCACCAATGAGATGATTCGTAATTAAGTTTTGGGTCAGACTGATTGAGCAAGATGTGTGTGTCGTACACCCTCCACTACCTGACGCAGGCAATAAATTGCTATGCAACGCTCTTATTAACTGAAGCAGTCTCTATTCTGTTCTTGCGTTTGGTAATACAGCAATATCCCGATTTAAGCCTCACCTTTTTACGTCGCTTCGTAAATACGTTGTCACTTTATTAATACCGCTACCTGATTTTCGTCATCTCAATGCACAGTTACGTCGGTGATAGCATCATCAATCCTTTCTCGTAGCCGTCACCTCTCAGCCGTCGCCTCCACCTATTCTGGAAAATCTTTTGATTTACGTCGTTTTTATATTCATCGTCGCAGCTTTTCCCCGATGTATACCAGGGTATCAACTGTACCAATGTCGAGGTCTCCTGGCCACGACAAGAGGGTTTCAAGACAGAGTTCGTATCGTTTTGCTGTTCGTCCTCCACAGTTGAAGGAGCACAGACTACAGTGGTTGACCACGTGGTCCATAGTTTGGATTTCATGGCCACAATCGCATCACTGTGGTTGTGTCTCTCATTTTCCATTCATGAAGGAGGTGTGGTGCAGCATCGGCCTGGTGATGATGTTCTGGTGCGATGAATGGCTCCACCATCAGTTTCTTCGAGGAGGAATGTCAACGGCAGGAGGTGCGATGCTTGTATCTCGAATGAGGAGGTGTTTATGCTGAAGCAGTGATGAATCAGCACGTTTGTTCATCACGTCACGAGTCTACTCATTGGCTGTCAGGTGGAGGAGGGCTGTACGACACGCATTTTACTCACACGGCGATCTGAACCAAAACTCAGTTCTGAATCACTAAATCACCAGTTTGACATCGATTAATATTGACTATTAATTTAAGATGTAAAAACTCTAATTGTATGATGTGAATTATTTGTAAGTGTAAATCACGTTTCATTTCAGCAGTTTAACAACTAAACTCTGCCTTGTGTTTCCAGATTGTGTACCACCTCCGTCTGTTGTCGGTGCGACGTCCGACGTTTCGCTGCACATGCCGGGAGCTTCAGGAATTGATTGAGGACTTGGAGAAGATCCCCAGCATGTGGAGCGAAACTTCGGACATCACTTTGAACATCGCGCGGGAGCGCCTAGCAGCAGCAAGCAGCAGCAGTAAGCAGCCAGCAGCAGCAGCAAGCAAGCAGCAGCAAGCAGCAGCAGCAAGCAGCCAGCAGCAGCAGCAAGCAACAGCAGCAGCCAGCAGAAGCAGCAGCCAGCAAGCAGCCAGCAAGCAGCAGCAAGCAGCAGCAGCAGCAAGCAGCAGCAGCCAACAGCAGCAGCCAGCAAGCAGCAGCAGCAAGCAGCAGCAGCAAGCAGCCAGCAGCAGCAGCAAGCAGCAGCAGCAAGCAGCAGCAAGCAGAAGTAGCAAGCAGCAGCAAGCAGCAGCAGCAGCAAGCAGCAGCAAGCAGCAGCAGCAAGCAGCAGCAGCAAGCAGCAGCAGCAAGCAGCAGCAGCAGAAGCAGGCAGCAGCAGCAGCCAGCAGCAGCCAGCAGCAGCAAGCAGCAGCCAGCAAGCAGCAGCAACAGCAGCAAGCAGCAGCCAGCAAGCAGCAGCAACAGCAGCAAGCAGCAGCAGCAGCAGCCAGCCAGTAGCAGCAAGCAGCAGCACAACTGTGAACCCCCTCAGCAGTCGTAAATCCCGGCAGGCCTCACTGGCTTCCATCTCCCCTCCCACCCCCGACCCCGATGTAGAGCGCCCGCAAAGTGGCACGTATTCACTTGTGATATTCCTGACCTCCGTAACCCCGGGTTCACAGGGGGTCACTCACCCGCACCGCCCGCTGGGGTCGCAGTGGCCGCTCCTCTTGCAACGTCCAGGTTCGGTTTCAGATCCAGGTTCGGTGACGTCGACCTGGCGGGTTGCGGGTCTGCGCCACGGTCCGGGGTGAGAGATGGAGTCGGGTGCAGCTCCAAGGTTACAGACGGCAACGTGGCCGGGGAGTGAGCTCCGTTAGGGTTCACGCCCGGGTCAGGGTGCGACGTAGGACTTGGGTTTGGGGGTGCGGGCGGTGGCAGAGAGGGGGTCAGGACTGGGGACCGGTCTGGGGTCTCCATACCCTGGGTGGAGGGGGGCTCTCGCCGAGTTCCAGCCGCTCGATTGACGTCTTCCGAGGTCATAGCGACCAGCGGGGACGTGGGCGGCGGTGGAGGAGAACGGGTGGAGTTCACACCTCCTGGTCCAACATCAGCCACTCCACGAGCAGTTTGAACATCTCCTCCGTCATCACCACCACCAGCAGCTCCTCCTCCGTCATATCCATCACCGCCATCGTCAGCGGCGCCACCTCCACCATCACCACCACGGCCCCCGTCCCCCTGGGCCCTTGCTGTGGGGGTGCCAGGTGATCTGGAAAGGGGACCCTCTCGTGGGTGTGGGGTCCAGGGCGAGGGCATGAGCATGGGGGTCCAACGCGGCTCATTGCTCGCATCCCCAGGGACCCCTGACATGGAATGAGGGATCCCCGAGACAGAATGCGGGACCCCTGATGTGGAATCTGGGACCGATGGTGTCGGACCAGGGACCCCTGGTGTGCGATGTGGGACCCCTGATACTAGAAAAGGGATCCCCGATGCCAGATCTGGGACCCCTGATACTGGAAAAGGGATCCCCGATGTCCGATCTGGGACCCCTGATACTGGAAAAGGGATCACCGATACTGGGTCTGGGACCCCTGTTGCTAAAATAGGTAGCCCTGAGACAGGACCGGGGACCCCTGATGTAGGATCTGGGGCTCCTGATGCTGGACCATTGACCCCTGATGTGGGATGCTGCTCTGTGACTGTGTTCAGCTTTGCGAGGGAGTAGGGGATAAGGGGAGGGGTCGAGGTCTCGGCAGGAGCTCTGAAGCGGCCACCTCCTGCCTCGCTGGGGTCCGGTCCGGGTACCCCCTTGGTGGAAGTCGGGGTCCCCGAGGGGAGCGGCGGAGGGGATCCCGGCGGCTGTGTGGGGTCGGCACGCGGGTCAGAGAGTAGGACCCCGAGCGAGGGGGTGAGTGTTGGGGTCGCCACGGAGGCGGCCGGCACCACGAGGACGATGATGACGAGGTGGAGGAGGTGGAGGAGGCCGTGGAGGAAGAGGGGGGGAGCCATCGTGGACCCAGGATATCTGCAGATGGGAGCACGAGATTTCTGGTGAACTCAATGATTTGCCTGCACACGCATATTCATTACCTATTTCGTGCAAAATCCTCGTCGTAATGTATCCTTTGTAAAATGCTAGGACGAGACAATTACTCGATTAATTAATCATTCATTCATTAACCTGTCTGTTAACTCACAGCTTAATTCATTATCCTGTCTGTTAACTCATAGCTTCATTCATTAACCTGTCTATTAACTCATAGCTTAATTCATTCACCTATCCGCTCATTCGTTTATTCGCCGCCGATATTGGCCGTGAGCGGGAATAGGACTGCGGTCGTCAAGTTCCTAGGCGCAGAGTGCTAACCACCGTACGCCACAAAGATCCCCCGTATAGCCTTCAACAGACTGCTCGCGAGCACTGCCTTGGTTTACACCCCGCAGAAGGGACTCGTTTAAGGCTGAGTCGACCTCGACGAGGCCCAGGGGTAACGGTTCAGATATTCATCACCAGTGTTGGCACGACACGCAGACACAACAAGACAAAGATTCCCCGCATAGCCTTAACAGACATTAGGGGGGGCAAGTGCTGTTAGCGAGTACCTATGAAGGCCGACACGGCACACGAAGAGGTGGGTGGCCAGCATCACGCCCGGCCACCTTTGTCTTCCGAATGCCGATGTTTACACATCGCACCAGGTACTCATTTGAGGCTAAGTCGACCTAGGGGAGGCTCAGGATCGGTTCAGATAATCGTCACTGGCGTTGGCCTTGAGCGGGAATCGAACTCGGGATGCCGGGTTCGTAGTGCAGCGCGCTAACCGCTGCGCCACCGCTCGCCACACAGACACACACAGAGACACACAAGACACATACATACAGACACACAAGACACACACAAGACACACACACAGACACACAGACACACGCAGGCGGGAGCACACAGACACACAAAGACACACAAGACACACACAGACACACAAAGACACACACAGACACACAGAAAGACACACAAACACACACACAGACACACGTTCCACAGAATAAACGCGGGAGAAGTTGGCAAGGGTCCCGTGGCTCATCTCACCCTCAAACTATGTTCTCACCTCCCCCGAACTCCCGCCCAGTGCAGACATCAGAGGGGAGATGACGCAGCGAGTGGGTGATGGGAGGCTGTCAGGGGGTCAACAGGGGTCCACCGACCCCCGCCCCTCCCGGTTTGTCACAAGATCCCTGCGGTGATGATTTTTGTATCAGATACAGGTGAGGTCCAGGACCGGTTCGGATATTCGCCACTGTGGTCGTGAGCGGGAATTGAACTTGGGCAGCCAGGTTCATGGGGCATTATAGCGCTTGTTCACCCAGGGAGTAATCACTAATGACTCTTTTGTTAGGAGGATCCTGCTACATTGGTCTTTTATATCCAGATAGTTTCAGCCAGTTGATGAGTGTGTGTTATACACGTGGAAGGAACCCAGAGCATCCGGAGAAAATCCACGTGTGCGAGGAGGCAACTTACTGTACTGCCTTGTGGCGGTACAGGATTGTGGACCAGATGGAGATTAGTCCACACTTGCTGTATCTATCGCCTTCTCCTGACGGGCCAGGGTACACGGCTCCTCCTCGACGCCCCACGGGAAGAGAGTTTCGCAACATTCGCGCCGCGACCCACCAACCCTCGCTGCTTGCCTCCACAGCGCTGGCGGCCGCGTGCAGGAGCAGCAGCAACGTAGCCACCACCACCACTGTCACACACCGCCACCAACCACCACCACCGTCACACACCGCCACCACCACCACCGTCACACACCGTCACCACCACCACCGTCACACACCGCCACCACCACCACCGTCACACACCGCCACCACCACCACCGTCACACACCGCCACCAACCACCACCGCCAACAACTGCCACCACCACCGTCACACACCACTGACGCCACCACCACTGACGCCACCACCACCACCGTCACAAACCACTGACGCCACCACCACTGACGCCACCACCACCACCGTCACACACCATTGACGCCACCACCACTGACGCCACCACCACCACCGTCACACACCATTGACGCCACCACCACTGACGCCACTGCCACCACCAGCGTCACACACTACTGACGCCACCGTCACACACCACTGACGCCACCACCACCGTCACACACCGCCACCAACCACCACCGCCAACCACCGCCACCACCACTGCCACCACCACCGTCACACACCACTGACGCCACCACCATCACCACCACCAACTACTGCCACCACCACTGCCACCACCACCGCCACCACCACTGCCACCACCACCGTCACACACCACTGACAACACCACCATCACCACCACCAACCACTGCCACCACCACTGCCACCACCACCGTCACACACCACTGCCACCATCACCACCACCACCGTCACACACCACTGACGCCACCACCACCGCCGCCACCACAGCCACCAACCACCACCGCCAACCACCGCCACCACCACCGCCACCAATACCACCACTGCCACCACCACCGCCAACTACCGCCACCACCACTGCCACCACCGCCACCACCACTGCCACCACCACCGCCAACCACCACTGCCACCACCACCACTGCCACCACCACTGTCACCACTGTCACCACCACCACCACTGCCACCACCACCACTCCCACCACCACCGCAGGGGCTTGGCACGTGTGAGGGACGTGAGCTCACGGGTTGCGGGTGTTTGCTTTTAGAACATGAACAAAATCAACTCGGCTTGGCCACAGAGGATCAAACTCGCACCAGGGACACAGCCGCTGGCGTTAATTCCTCCCAAATCCCCGTGCGCATTGTGCCCCAGTGACATCACCCGCATAGACGCAACCGACTCGCTAACTCGCGCACACTCGCCCAAAGGCCATCCCTCCCCCGTAGAGCCTCTGACAGACAGACTGCTTAAATTTTGATTTAAAACTTTCGTGACTGCAGTAATTCATATTCTTAGCTCTTTCGGTAAAGTCACGTTGAAGGGAAACAATAAAATAATAATATATAAAAATAAAAATTATCACGACGTTTCGACCATAACACAAACGGTCGTCATCAGGTGTGTCGGTTTGCATCAATTTATTTCTTTTTAAACGGTGCATTTATTAATAAAAAAAAACGTCAGCGCCACGCGCAGCGATTTGGCAGTTTATTTAGAAGGACTAGTCCATCTATGTTCTGAAAAGAGGAGGGGAGAGACGAAAAATTAATGTATGCTGTCTGAAAGCCACTGTAAGCGTGAACAATCAATTAAGACCTGAAATGGTTTATCAAATCTTTCCAATGGTTGCTAAGCCAGAATCCATCTTCTCGGTTGAAATTGTCTCTGTGCTTGCATATGTGGATAGCCTCATGAACGAATCTCTCATGGTAGCCAGATGGCTTACAAAGAACCTCTGTCTTGGAGAAGTCAATGTCATGTGAGCCTACTCAATTATAACAATGATCTGCCACGGCCAAGGTGTTGGTCCTACCGTGTTTAAGGTCTGCTTTGTGTTCACGAATGCGGTCCGAGACATGGCGTTTGGTTTCTCCAATGTAACTCCTACCACAGAGGCAACTTAGTTTGTAGATACCAGTGTACTGTATGTCCGGAATCACATCTTTTACAGACGGAACCAGATCACGGATTTTATGTAATGTGTTGAAACGGACCTGGATCTTGTGTTTATTCAAGATTTTGGAGATCTTTTTTGTGATCCCCGCAATGTAGGGTAAAGTGATGGTTTTGAAAGGCTCCTCAAGAGGGTCCTTCTTCATGGTTTGAGTGATAGCTTTGCGGATTGTATAGTTGGAGTAACCATTAGCCTTAAGAGCTTGGTGTATGTGCTTGAGTTCACTGCCTATGTGTTCCTGGTCGGATATGCATTGGGCTCTATGGTACAGAGTCTTGATGAGAGAATTCTTCCGTGATGGATGGTGGTGGGAATCCGGTTTCAGATAAGCATCCATATGGGTAGCTTTCCTGTAGACAGAGTGGCTCATTGAACCATCAGGTCTCAAGCACGTACACCAAGCTCTTAAGGTTAATGGTTACTCCGACTATACAATCCGCAAAGCTATCACTCAAACCATGAAGAAGGACCCTCTTGAGGAGCCTTTCAAAACCATCACTTTACCCTACATTGCGGGGATCACAAAAAAGATCTCCAAAATCTTGAATAAACACAAGATCCAGGTCCGTTTCAACACATCACATAAAATCCGTGATCTGGTTCCGTCTGTAAAAGATGTGATTCCGGACATACAGTACCCTGGCGTCTACAAACTAAGTTGCCTCTGTGGTAGGAGTTACATTGGAGAAACCAAACGCCATGTCTCGGACCGCATTCGTGAACACAAAGCAGACCTTAAACACGGTAGGACCAACACCTCGGCCGTGGCAGATCATTGTTCTAATTCAGTAGGCTCACATGACATTGACTTTTCCAAGACAGAGGTTCTTTGTAAGCTATTTGGCTACCATGAGAGATTCGTTCATGAGGCTATCCACATATACAAGCACAGAGACAATTTCAACCGAGAAGATGGATTCTGGCTTAGCAATCATTGGGAAGATTTGATTAACCATTTCAGGTCTTAATTGATTGTTCACGCTTACAGTGGCTTTCAGACAGCATACATTAATTTTTCGTCTCCCCCCTCCTCTTTTCAGAACATAGATGGACTAGTCCTTCTAAAAAAATTGCCAAATCGCTGCGTGTGGCGCTGACGTTGTTTATAAATAAATAAACCGCTTAAAAATAAATAAATTAATGCGGACCGACACACCTGATGACGACCGTTTGTGTTATGGTCGAAACGTCGTGTCGTGAGAATGTTTTTATTGTTTTATATATTTTTTATTATTTTATTGTTTCCCTTCAACGTGACTTTACCGAAAGAGCTAAGAATATGAATTACTGCAGTCACGAAAGCTTTAAATAAAAATTTAACCGCCTCTACGGGGAGGGTTTCCACATAACTTTAAGATCCTTCAACAAACTCCGGGATAAGAAGG